ATGCGCCTGTTCTTTCAAATGCTCCGGGTTTCCTGCGGTGACCGGTGAGCAACAAAATGACAAAGCCGACAAAGATCTCATATACTAACCCTGGGGTAAAGCTTAAGACAAACATGTGGAAAACCCATGGTGAACCCATAGGAGAATGAGCTACAAATGGTGGGTTTTCAAGATCCATGTAAACGTTAGGGAAAGCCAGGCAGTTCCGCAACAAAGCAAACCACCAGGCTAAGAGTGATGAGTTTCCTTCCGAGCCAATCCCAGGGGCAAAAAACCTTGTGGCAGCCAAGCTTTTTACCCAGTCAAGGCCCCTTTGGTGACCCCACTTGGTCTACAGCTGCTTAGCAGTCATGGTAAAAAATGCAACACCATTTTGATGCAGTTTGGGGATGTTTGGGGTTTCACGAATCCTAAATACAAAATGCAAAATGGATCAACATGGCGACCCAAATGCTTCAGTCTGATCTTGGGGCTGCCATCAAGACACCAGAATGTAGCGTCAACCCCCCGTTGAAGATCGTATACCAGGGAGGTCTTCAAGAACGGTGACCAATTAATTACCAACGACCAATACCATTCAATACCACCATATATATAATAATGTATACATTATGTATATATTATATTATATATATACATATTAATATATATTGTATATATATATATTAATATATATCATATTATGTATATATATATATGTATATATATATATATATATTATTTATATTTAACAAAAAAACACATATATTCTATTTATACATTTATCTATTGTTGTTGCCTAATCAGCTGAGGTTAACGTTCCCATCGGACAGTGAAGGACAAGCCGTGCACTGAGCTCCCAACTGCGATAGCATTTTGTTCCAAATTTGCACCTGGCAAGGGATGGCACGGCTTCCCCCAATCCAAAACGACCTACACACATTACACATGCAATAGAACTATATATATCTACATATCATACGTCATCATCTACCATATATATATAATTATGTACAGTATAATATATTATGCATATATATAGTTATATGTTATATACATATATCTTATATTATATATAATATATATACATATATATATATATATACACATATGTATGTGTGTTCTCCACTGTCTCAACCTCCATCTTCTTCGGAAAATCTCGTCCATTCGACCCATCGGGGGTCCCCACAGCGGTCGACTTGGGCCGTCCGCCGTGCTCGATCGCTTCATTCGTGTGCTCATCTTCACCTGGACCAAGGTTGGTGAAGCGAGAAAGAGAACTCACCAACAAAAAACAGGTAAAATCCCAAACGAATTTCAATTATAATGAATTATAATGATATAAGATGATATAAGATGATATAAGATTATATAACAATGATGATATAACAATGGCATTTTGGTTCGGGGCTGGTTACTAGAGAGGAATCTGGTTTCAAGCTGCTCGATTTCGTGGCACGAAAACAGGGGGGACCGGTGGGGCGCCCACCTGTGCTAAAGGTCCGAGCATGTCCGAGCTATATCCGTTGGTTGGCTGATGGTAGTGGGAATACACGGCAATTCTCACGTTTTATTTCCCTGCTCGTCTCTGATGAAACTCTCTCCAAGAACCAAGGTTTCCCTGTGGAACCAAACATTTTGGTGGATCCAGTGCTCTGGACATCAAATTTGAGGATTTAGATGGATTTAGGACCTCGTTGGGCCTACTCATTTCATGTGTAAACCCCAGCTTTCTCGTTGAGTATCTTTCGATATCTTTCGCTCATCCTGGCACCTCCGACTTTGGCCCCAGCCCCGCCCGGTGAAACGCATCGGCCAAATGGGCTGCAGGGACGGTCTCTGGATTCTCTGGCAAGTGGGGAAATCCCCAGATTGTTTGAATAACAAATTCATGATGCTTTTGCTTTTGCCGGTTTGCCGGTTTGGAATCCCAGAGAATGCTCATGTTGAAAGGGGCTGAACATTCTGAAAGGGCCCACAACCAACAGGAACATAAAAGATGAAACATGATGAAACTGAGTGCGCCATGTTGCATACCATCCATGGCAAGGGCTCAAAATGCACCCCAAGAGAAGTTGAATCTGCCCCTGGAGGCCCTGGAGAATCGTAATTTATGGATTTGTTTGAGGGAAAACTGCAGGAAACCACTCTGTTTGATGGTTTAAAGCATGTTTTTTGTTCTCCCTCTCTTTGTCTCTCTATCGCCATTTGGTAAAGTCCAGCCTAGCTGTTCTCTGAATATATATATATATATATATACATATATTCCTTTATATTCCTTTCAACATTCTGAAATTCATCATTGATTCATGACCTTTCACAGCAACTTCACAAGGCCATGGGTCGCTTTTGGCATCATCTTACCGGTCGGACATGGCTTGGAAACCAGAATCCCATGTTGGTGGTTCATATCCCCATGTCTGATCGTTTCATAGAATGGCAATATCTTTTGAAATGCTGCCAATATCTTGCACACAAAATATGGTTGGTGCTTTCAGAGCCCGTCATGCTCAGATATAAGAGTAAATCAGTAAATCCCTACTAAATTCATGATTACAGTATCTACTGTAGTACATGTACTGTTAATCCATTTCCATATATATATATACACATATATATATAATTATATATGTATATATATATATGTATATATATGTATATATAATTATATATATATATATATACACACACTTTTTTTCTAGAGAGACCATGAGCTCCCCGTCTCCAGTTTGGTGCCAAATTCCCACCTTGCGGTGAAAAGTGACAGGCCTGCGGTGCAAAAGTGAAGATCATGCCAACAAGTGCAGTTCTATGGCATGGAGAAACTTTCTTTTAATAACACGAATGCACACATATTATACATATATATATATATATGTATACATATGTATCTATATATACACAGCATATATATATAGTATATATATATGTGTGTGTGTGATCTATATGTATATACACAGAGAGAGAGAGAGTATATATATATAATGCATGTGATATCAAATAGACTTATGACTTACGTAACACATCAACATGATAAGATACGTGATCTGTGCATATGCATTTGCCTACGCAGCAATATACACTTGAATAAGTGAATCTATGGGTCCGGTCCAACCCAAACGGCTGAATTCAGCTGATCCCGCGGCAAAATGGCAAGGGAAACCATCCGTTTCTGCTCTGTGTATGCTTCAAAACTTGATAACCCTCTGGTAATTGCTATGGAAAATCACCCTTTTAAAATAGCTACATACATGATCTCTAAATGGGCCAATTTCCGCTATGTGATCATCCCAAATAGATCGAACAATTGATGATATTGATGGGTTTGCCAATGGCGGATATGTGGATACCAAAACCAAATGCTAAAATCGTATCCCAAGCATCCCAAGATATATCGGTGATATATCAAGGTTCAGAAATATCCCAAATGGTTGGTTAAAGCCATGCAAAAACCTTTTTGAATGGTTGGTTCACGTTGGTTCCGCATGTCATTTACAGCTTCTCAAACGTTGACCCAACCTGCTGGGGCTACAGACTGGTTGCTGGGCGTTTTGGAGCTGCGCCCAGCCCGTTTGGCCACTGGCATGCTGCCAGCCCGCCTCTGTCAGCCCAGGTCCAAGTCCCAGTGGCATCCATTTTTGGATGACCTTCAGGTCCACCACTTTAAGAAGCCATCCAAGGATGAATCCCAATGAATTAAATGGTTAAGTCCCAACATGTTGATGTTGAACTCCCCATGTCAGGCATGGAGGGTGTTGTTTTAAAGGAAACATCCGTTCCATCTTGCAGCGTTGAAACACAATCTTCGGGGAATTGGGGAATATTCTTTAAGACGAGAAGCATGGAACCTTTGGCAATCTTTCCCTATAAAACAGGATTGGGCTGAACCAAATTCTATGGCTCAAAAAAAATATATATACCCTATAAGTTGCCCTGTCATGGTGGATTTCCCATTGGGAAAGTTAAGTAAACAATCACCTTAAACAAAGCCAGGTCTTTTACGGTTCCTACGTCGAAAACTCACACTCGGTGCCTGGTACCACTGGACGACAGCGCCCGGCCCAGCATGGACTCCTGAGACCATGGCAAAAATCATGGACGTTCCCCGGATTCACAAATAGCAAGGGGCTATATTCTTGGCGCCTGCTTCAAGGCGTGAGGATTTTTTCATGATTTTTCTAGTTTCAAAGCCAACCTCAGGGACTCAGGGAGGTCCCAATTCAATGCTTGGGCAAAGTCTCCTGAAAATGCCCTCTCATAAGGGTCAATCATTCATATAATATCATATAATCCAGTGTGTTTACAGTTGCTTTTTAATGTACAGCATAGTCATTTGACACCTTCTGAACGCAGTGGGTGTCTTGGAAGATTCCGGCCACAGGAGGCAACATGCCTATTACCTAGCCTATATGATTCATAGGACCACTTGTCCCATTACGGGACCCTCCTAATGCAGTGAATGAGATTGCCAAAGTGCAAACAACGCGCACATAAAAACAAATCATAACTACAATCTGAGGTTTCAAAAACAACATGATGTTGAACAAAATCCCAAACCCTCCCCAACCATCTTTTTGGGCTGAGTTTGTCACTGCAATTCTGTGCCACATGAATTCGGGCGTGCCACGAATGCATATGTGATATACGCAGGCACGCGTCTGGCAAGCGCAAATGGCTTGTCTGGCTGTCCTGACCTCTGGAGTCAACTTCAGGGATTTTTGCAGCCCCAAAATAGATGGAACAGTTGGAAACCTGATAATTAGAGGGTAAATATGGGCAAATACCATTCTCTATATCATCCCGGAAAAACTTTTAAGAACTGTTCTGTGTGCTGGGCAAACGCCGATCCGGACATCAGGACCTGAGGGAAAAATTCAAACCTTACCTCAACGACCACGTATCATGTCCTTTGTCGAACCCTAGCAGCTCGAACATACGCAGAAGAGGCAACTACTTGATCTGGGCTCCGCATGAAGCAAAAGTTGGAGGCAACTCCTTTGCATCGTTATACTTCAAGAATCGTAAACTCTCCGAAACCCAAACATTCCAGTAATTCTGGATTGGTCACCGCTGTTTTTTTTTTGTCTTTGCATCCGCATCATCAATTGATGGTGCCCACGGTGCCGATTTCGAGGACTCACTTCTCACACCAGCAAAGCGCGAACGTCCTCTGACGCCCAAGGATCATCTAAACGGTACTGGAGTAAAAACCTCAGCCATGCGGGCCTGGACTTCAATGGAAGCCGTGTAACTTTTTGGAGTTGGCAGCACTTACTAGGCATGCTTAAGAAATCTTGAAGAACCGGTCGTAGACCTAGCTTAGCGGCATGAGCCATAGTTTATCAAAGTTCAAAAATGTTGAATACATCAAGCTGGCAGAAGTTCACAGCATGACGTGATTAGTCCACTAAAATCCACTACACTAAATGGATCGCTCAGAACATCCCCAAACATGTGCAAATTGCTTACAATCACATACACTTCCCACCTATCTATCCAGAGGTTCCAAGTCACCACAAGGTGATCTGGTCTGCAATCCCATCTTCCGGCAAATCCATATGCCCGCCATCATAGAAGCAGCGCATGATTCGCCTTCCACTGGAGCAACCTTTGAATTCCAGGCAGCTGAAATTCCCACTTCCACCATCCCAGTAGGTCTTGGTGGTGCTGGCCGTCGTATCGCAGTCCTGGGAGTGGCCAACTTTGATGGCAGTGATCCTGCTTGAGGCTCCCCAATTCAGGGTGGGTCTGGCAGAGCTTGCTCTCTGGTAACATGGCAATGGAACGTATACCGTATACCTTATTTTTCCCATTCAAACCTCCATTTATAAGGGGACGTTCAATTGCCATGTTTGATTACCGAAGGGTATCCTATTCACAACCAAGACTGTCTGTTTCCTTCTGTGAACTGCCCATGAATTCCGTTGCCTCATATTCATCCCATTGTCTTGCATATTTTTTTCCGATTGAGTTTGACTAGTGGTTGAGTTGATGATCCCCATTTGCTGGTGTTTGTCTTCAAGCTCATCTCATATCATCTATGTGCGGCATATCTACGTGTGGTGAACATAGATCAACATGCCGCCACTTGCAGGACCATCCCGCGAATGGTAACGGCTTAGTGACCCTGGTGATGTAGGTCAGTCTCCCCGATTCGTGGTTGATCCCATATACAATTAAATATATATACATATATATATGTATATTATATATATATATGTACATATATGTATATATATAATATAGAGAGTAATGTCAGGTCAGGATTAATCAATACCCCGTTATTAATCAACCTCCTCCTCCCCCAAAAAAATGCAATTTAAAAAAGGTGGCCCCCCAGGATTAATAAACCGTTTGGCTAGGACATGATTAATCAACCCCCTTTGCTGAAATCCATTTTTTTACAATCCAAATCTTATCAAATCCAATGGAATTCTATGATGATCTAATTGACTCAAGCCATATCCAAAATTTTATGGTTCAGAGGTGCTTATTATTAAGGGGGGCTTAAGGGGGGCTCCACAAGGTAGAGTTCTGACCTTCTTGGGGGGGTAATTAATAGGGTGTTGGTATTACATTGTAATTTAACATAATTAGCTATTGAAAATAACCCATTTAATTGAAAGTTGATTTTGCTGATAAAACATATCATTGCATAAAAATGGCGAGTCTTTCAGCTCGCCATGTTCGTTTATCAGGACCATCCCCAGGTCCCGCAGGACCCCGAGTCCAACTGCTGAGGCGGCCGAGGTGCGTGAACGGCGGCCCAGCCCTGTTGCACTTTGTTGAGGGGCTCGTAGATCCACTTGTTTCCCGCCACACCACCTGCAGGACAAAGGTGGGGAAATGGATGAGCAAGGTAAGCCCCAAATGGTAGCTAATCCAGTTTCAGTGGTATATTGCACCTTAAGTTTTTCTATCTTTAAAAAAATGCTGGTATAATATAAGGTTCAACACCTTTTCCATCGTTCTGGAGGTTATTGAAATTAGATACGCTTAGTATATACTGTAGCTGAATGCAACTGGTGAAAAAACTGGTGGCAGCTTGGGCCGCGAGGATTGGACCAACACTGAATCCGCCAAAAGCTGGGCTAGGCCAGATTGATCCAACTGAAGCAATGAGGATTTATAATGAAGATTTTAGGCGTCTTGGTATATCCTGCTACTTCCGGGTATGCTATGGCTGCTATGGTATCCCCCCATGATCCAAAGCAACCACCGGTGCCATCCACATCTTGGTGCCTGCGATGGGCATGACATCATCGTCCCGTCCATGGAGTTGAAGCATGGCGGTTTGCCTCGAGTCCTGCCACATGAAAGATCGATCCCCAGCGAAGGGCAGGAAGTTCACAAGTACTTGTTCCATCAGAATAAGTGGATCTATCGGATTTATGTGGATTTATAACTAAACTTGCAAGGATAGTGAAGGAAGGTCATTGATGGATTTTTCCAGATCTATTCAAACAATAATCTACCATCTGCTGACAGGTATACAGGTATATACAGTAAATCATCTAACTACGTGGGCAATGTTCGATTCATCCTCCATCTCCACTACTGCAGCACCAGCTTCCCGGTCCCACAACGGTTGCACCGTCCTTGGTATATCTCACCAGCTCGAACTGGGCGCCCAAGCCATAGCCCAACAACGGCAAGCCAAACCACGGAGCCACAGCCGCGAAGGTGCCTGCGGAGTAGCCATTTGGGAATCCCCATTTTGAGAAACACCCACATATGCAACAAAAACATGTATATATATAACACATATATATAACATATAAAGTATAATTTTATGTATATATATATATATGTGTGTGTATACGCATGAATATATAGAACATGATAGAACACTAGGCCAGGGCTCCTTGCGTGCTGAGCGAAAGCACATTTCTGAGACACCTCAGTTGATCCAGGACTCATACCCATCCCATACCCACAACGACCACCTGGTAGGGATTGCACCAAGTAATGCGCCAACATTCCACCATTGCTTTCGCCCGTGACGTAGACACGTGAGTGATCGATGCAAAGAACTGCACTGACGGCCTCGAAACAAACAGACACTGTGCAAAGAACATGTAGGGGACCGTACTGTATGCTATGTGGAGGTTTCTTACAATGAGGGATCGGGATCCCCAAGTCACCATGGGTTTCAATACTAAACTGTACAGTTTTGGATGATGTGGGGGTACACCCATTTTAGAACATTTTAGGAAACCTCTATGTATATAAGGTTTTAAGTGATAAGTTATAAAAATATAGTTGTGTTCTGGCTATTGTGTTTCAGTTTCAATGTGCTGCCATATATCTTTGAAACCCATGTTGTTGTGTACGTACGAGTGCAACTTATGTCTCTCGCCCAAGGGAGAACTCATAAGTTCTGATCATATTTCGCACCTCGATGACGGAGAAAATAAAGAGGCGCTCATCGTAGCAGCCCGACCAGTTGCAGCGGCCGCACCGGTTCTGTTCCCAGCACGACTCGTAACCTGGTGGCTGCACACTGAAGCCCAGCACATGAATGACAACTTGGATCCCTTGTTGAGGAGTGAAACCTCCAAGCTCCAAAAGTTTCCAATTCAAGGTGGGCTGCTCATTCCTTGGATTTCCTTGGCGGGTCTAAAACTAGTTGACAAAAAGGGTCAAAGAACGGGAATCGGGGTTAGGTTAGTTACCTTCTGGTAGTCTAACATAGCTGTGGTATAATAGACCCGTGTGTGGGTGATGTACCCTTTAAAGATTGTAGTTTTCCATGTTAGGGATGGGAACAAAAACAAACTGAAAGCACGCGTCAGCAACAATCGGCCATCACTTCATCGCCAATGCAGGTCTGGTTGTCGCCTCCAGAACCCACCGGTGACCCGAATGCTGTACTGTTCCCTATCTGATTATTATAGTAAACTGAATTCTCTGGGGAACATGTTCAACACATTCCCTCACGTGTTTTTGTTTGGTGGGTATCACGTCCCAAAAATGTCTATATAGAATTTCTCAAGTTCTTTGGTTGAATTGTAGTAATAATATGTTGTTATTTACCAAAAATAGCTGTTAAGGGTGATTACCCTTGCTACACCCATGGTACTATGGTAGGTCGTGGTGAAATCGGATTATTCACCCAATTGATGCATCCCGTGTTCTGTTACCTTTTAGGGAATATCCACTTGCATCCTCCATAAAAGCTGGTCCTTTCATATTACATGCCAATAAAATCATCCCCGCATATATAGCAATATACACTGAATTGGGTTTGGAATTGTTCCACACCCAAGCCCCTGAAATAGGTCGAATAGTGTACAATCATTCATTTAATTTCATTTAGTCCCAATGTTTATCAAGTTTTCATAGTTAAACCCCCGGATGACTCCACCCACTCTTCGTTACACGTTGCCTGCAGTGCCCACGTTCCATCCGGTGCCCAAATCCGCGCCCCCAGGCAGGGCATCGTCCAAGCCCTGGGGATAGATGCTGACGAAGCCTCGGTTTCCGCTTTGGGGGCAGCAGTTTCGCTAGCTAAGTTGGTATCCAATTTTACTAGGCTTGATTTGGGGGATAGGATTGTAACTATAGTAATTTTTACTAGGCTTGATTTGGGGGATAGGATTGTAACTATAGTAATTTTTACTAGGCTTGATTTGGGGGATAGGATTGCAACTATAGTAACTTTTACTAGGTTTGATTTGGGGGATAGGATTGTAACTACAGTGATTTTTTACTAGGTTTGATTTGGGGGAAAGGATTGTAACTACAGTGCTTTTTTACTAGGTTTGGATTGTAACTATACAGTAATTTTTACTAGGCTTGATTTGGGGGATAGGATTGTAACTACAGTAATTTTGACAAGGTTTGATTTGAGGGATAGGAATGAAACTATAGTATTTTTTTACTAGGCTTGATTTGGGGGATAGGAGTGTAACTACAGTAATTTTTACTTGGCTTGATTTGGGGGATAGGATTGTAACTATAGTATTTTTTTACTAGGCTTGATTTGGGGGATAGGATTGTAACTATCGTAAATTTTACTAGGCTTGATTTGGGGGATAGGATTGTAACTATAGTAACTTTTACCAGGTTTGATTTGGGGGATAGGATTGTAACTACAGTAATTTTGACAAGGTTTGATTTGAGGGATAGGATTGTAACTACAGTAATTTTGACAAGGTTTGATTTGGGTATAGGATTGTATCTACAGTAATTTTTACTAGGCTTGATTTGGGTATAGGATTGTATCTACAGTAATTTTTACTAGGCTTGATTTGGGGGATAGGATTGTAACTACATTAATTTTGACAAGGCTTGATTTGGGGGATAGGATTGTAACTATAGTATTTTTTACTAGGCTTGATTTGGGGGATAGGATTGTAACTATACGGCCAAACACCTCGTCTTGCCCGCGCCTGTTGGCCCGCCTTCTTCGTATGAGCTGAAAACGTGGTAAACATGGGATATTTTAGCATTATGGTTAACTTGATGTTCTCCCTGACGGGCCATCAGCACCCAGCAGATCCCAGCAGCCCAAGGATTGCCCGAAGGTTCCGAAGTCATGTGCCTTTGCGTAACCTCAGATGGTGATGTGATATGGAGTGATCAATATATTGCCCCTTGTATAGCAAACAAGTGAAGTAGTACACTACCCTTCAGCCGTAAAATTCATGATAACTGAATTTAAATATCTGATAACAAACATGAGGTAGTTAACTTCGTAAACTAACTCTTCTTCACCATGGTTTACCCAACACTATTCTGATTTCACACCCGGCTTGCTGGGTCCCGGGCTATCCGCCTCAAAACCTTGGGCATGCAGTGCAATCAGCAGCGGCGCGGGGCGATCGTTTAGGCCTGTGGGCACTTGGATGTAGAATGAGCGGTTCCTTGGTGTCATGGTGTCAGACGGGGATGGGGATGACCCACCAAACCCACCAAGCTTTGCATCTATACATGGTGATTGAATCATAAAAGCCACCCGAATGGGGATGTACATTGGGATAACCATCCAAACGTGACCAGCCCAAAAATAGTTGGTTTTACTCAGGATTAATTTGAACTTCAACCAGCTATCATTGGGGCAGTCACCCGTTGGGGGGTACATATCCATGAGTCAAGGGACCGTTTCTTATGCAGCTCTGAGAAAAAGGAAAACTCTTTCCAGAATTGGATGAAAGCCTCTGTGGAATGGCACATCATCTGGCACCTACAAAGCAGAAGTTCAGTAGCATATAATAGCGCGCTCCGCTCATTTAGATGTGTTTTACATATAGTGCAATGTATGGCCCTTGGCCCTGGCAACTTGCTAGCCGCTCTGAGTGGAGGACTCAAGTCCTTCAAAATCATCTCAGAAAGTTTGAAACAATGCGGATGAATTGAGGTAAAACCGTCCATCTCGGACATGTTTAGGATTTTTGAGGGGAGCGCAGTTATATGCAGCTTTGACATAATTCCACAGAGCTCTTGGAAAATAGCTTGTCAGCGGCGGTTCGCAACAAGTGTCACCAGCTTGTAGTCCAGCACCATCAATGACACCCAGCCCTCAAAGCCCTGCGCTCCAAGCGCAGGATCTTGCATCAAAATGCTAGAAGCCCTTCAACAAACCTAGTGTAAGGTGATGATCTGAATGCGGGCTCCGGGTTTTCTGTTGGGGCTTCGAATTTTGCCCCTTGGCTCACCCAAGATCAAGGACTACTTAGTGCCAACACTTCATCCCAGTCCTCGTTAGACACTTTCGGCGTGTAGGTCACAATCGCTTGCCCAAACAACTGGAGGATGAACACCAACAAAACATAGAACTGCCTTGTAATTAACGAAAAAGGCAAGAACCACCAACAACTTTAGCAAGCCGTCTCGGTGCTTGTTCATTGCATCCCATTCGGAATCGAGTGGGCACAGGAGAACCATTAAAGGATCAAGCATCCAGGATACAGTCTAATCTAAATATGTTCCGTTTTTTTGTTTTGTGGTGATTATCCAGTTTACTATTGATTGAATTTTCAATAACTGATATTGTTTGGGAAAATGTTAGGAGTTCCCAAGCATGACAAGCGGGTTACATGTTTGGATGATCCTCCCAAAATCCAAACCATCATCTATTGCCAAGATCATGTGTAGCCCCATATCCATCTCATTTCAACAATGACTACCATCCGCCCCAAGAAACAACGGTACCATCCATCGCCTCAATGATACACAAAGAGGAGAAAAAACACCGCATAGATTTCCAAAAACCGTATTTATTGGAAGAAATCATGTTCAGTAATTCTACCCTCTGGTAATTTAACATAGCTATTGAAAATGGCCATTTATAGTGAGTTTTCCCATTAAAACCAGTGATTTTCCGTAGCTATGTTAGTTTACCAGAGGGTAAGCAATGTGGTAAGCATAGTAATAAACTATCGCAATACGGCAATTGGATGATGTCTATCATGACCCCCGGTCATGGTGTGTCGGTTTAGCACATTGCATGGCATTAGTGATACAAAATCATACAAATTCCAAATCTGAACCGTTAATAATCATTAATATTATAACCATTAACCACCATTAACCACCAATAATCACCATTCCAAAACCATGGCAAGTCGAAGCCGCCGTGAATTTCCAGGCCTCCTGCACCTTGGGCCCCAGCCCCGCCAGGCGCGGTGCTTCGTTGCTGGTGCCGCGGCAGGAGGCGAAGTCGGCGACGTTGGCGACGTCGGCGATGTCTTGGAGCCAGGCCGGGTCCTGGGATCGGGGATGGGGGTTTGAAATCCAATGGGTTTTTGAGGCCCTTTCTTCCAGGCAGTGCCAGGCAGCACTAAGAATGGAAGCTCCAGGGGCTCCAGGTTGTGTGTGGCACCATGTCACTGAAAATAGTTAGGAAATCCCTGCACCCTTGGACTCTGGGGGACCTTACACATGTAAGCTACAGGTCCCCGGGAGTTAGATGGGGTCAAGGCATTAGGGATGTTGGGAATGAAGCTCCTTGGTCGCATCTGCGAAACTCAGAGGTGCCAGGCAGCATAGAAATACTCCAAGCTTTGAGCGTGGCGTCATAGCACAAGAGATTCTTGATGATTTTTAAAGGTCACCAATTTTACCTTTGATGATTCCCCATGTCTGACTCAAATTCATGCCAATCTGCGGTAAATCACAAAAATTACCAGTTTCATCTGTTGGCATCACATTACCAGTCTCATTGAAAGACATGATTTTCACTGGTAATCTGTCTGATTCACTTCAAATTGAAGGCACAGCAGTTTCACCTACCTGACTTGGGCCAGGCTCCGGGGTGCGGGTCAGGATTAGACCCGAAAGTCAATGAAAATCGACTGCTGAGTAGATTGAGGCAACTTGAATTCATGGATGAGTTGTCGTTTCCAAAAAATAGTTAAATAAATATATATATATGTAAGAAACATGAACATCCAATATACAAATATGTATATACAGTATATATATATATATATAGTTTGTACATATATATGTATTGTATATAAATATATACACTTCAATTTATGTGATATGTATATATATATGCGTACCATATATATAATATGTAAATATCTGTATGTATATTATGTAAATATTGTATATATATATATATGTATGTATGTTATGCATATAATGTATATATATATATGCATACTCTATACATAATGTATATACTGTATATTTGAATAATTATATAATATGTATAAATAAATATATATATATTATGTATATGCTGTATTCAATTTTTCCATGTATATATATATATATTATCTATATACTGTGTATATATATATATGTACCAATATAATTTATACACCCTATATACATTATATAAGTAGGATATATACAATTGGATGTTCATGTTTCTTATGTCAAATAGGTCTGGGCGGGTGCCGAATCTCGCCGGGGAATTTTTTTCTCCTGCCCCGGGGAATTTTTTTCCTGATCTGTTCTGTTTTCCGTCCCCTGCATCTATCCTGCCACTTCCCTTCCATGCTGCATGCTATTTGCAGCATTTTGGAGCTGGAACCTTTCATTTTGCGTGTTATTTGCAGCATTTTGGAGCTGAACCTTCCATGCTGCATGCTATTTGCAGCATTATGGCGCTGGAACTTTTTATTTTGCATGCTATTTGCCGCATTTGGGCGCAGGAACCTTCTATTTATCATGCTGTTTGCCGCATTTGCGCGCAGGGGGCAGGGACCTTTCAGTTTGCGTGCTATTCGTAGAATTTGGGAGCTGGAACCTTCTATGTTGTTGTATTTGTTGTTACGTTTGTTGCTGTTATGTTTGTTGTTGTGCTGTCTGTTGTTGTAATGTTTGTTGTTGTTTCTTTGTTATGTTTGTTGTTGCGATGTTTGTTCTTGTGATGTTTGCTGTTGCTATGGTTGTTGTTGTGGTTGTGGTTGTGGTTGTGGTTGTTGTTGTTGTTGTTGTTGTTGTTGTTGTTATGCTTGCTCTTGTGATCGTTGTTGTTATTGTGTTTATTGTTGTTATGGTTGTTGTTGCTGTTGTTGTTGTTGTTGTTGTTGTTGGATATGCGCAAATAAATAGCCACAAAATATGTATCTAAATGACAACCTGTACATATGTATATATACATACCTGGGTCGCCAAAGTTGCAGGTTTCTTTGCAACTTTGAATTTCACATCACTTTGTTTCTTTTGCCATGGTATAACATCTATTATGACCACTGCCATCTAGACATATCACTTTCCCATTCTGGGTATCCTAGCACCAACCATCACCACCGACCCGCCACGGCAGCAATATTTTCAGTGGTACAGTGGTACAGTTGCTGGCTGCCTGGCTGGCTTGCTTGCTTGCTGGCTGGCTTGCTTGCTTCCTTGGTTTGCTCGCTGGCTCCCTTGCTTGCTTGCTTGCTGGCTTGCTGGCTTGCTGGCTGGCTGGCTTGCTGCCTTGCTGCCTTGCTTCCTTCCTTCCTTCCTTCCTTCCTTGCTTGCTTGCTTGCTTGCTTGCTTGCTCGCTGGCTCCCTTGCTTGCCCCCTTGCTTGCTGGCTGGCTGGCTGGCTGGCTGGCTTGCTTGCTTGCTTGCTTGCTTGGTTTGCTCGCTGGCTCCCTTGCTTGCTGGCTTGCTGGCTGGCTTGCTTGCTTGCTCGCTGGCTCCCTTCTTTGCTTGCTTGCTTGCTTGCTGGCCGGCTTGCTTGCTTGCTTGCTTGCTGCCTTGCTTCCCTGGCACACCAGTCTGCGGGAACTTAGCCGGGAAAAAAATTCCCCGGGGAGGAAGAAAAAAAATCCCCGTAAAAATGGGGTACCGCGCAGATTGGGCACCACTCAACTTGGATGGTGCAACTTGGTGGTATCCCATGCCGCCAAGACTGGCCGAGGCTGCGGACGGGCGCAATGGGTCCCAATGGCACGACTGAACCTGGGCAAACACACAGATTCTTCCAAATTTGTGGAATTTATATGAATCTATCTGTTGTTCATGGATGATGCTGACATATGTTAACTGTTAATGGAATTTATAATATGAATTGATATGAATCTATCTCATCAATGCCTTGATGTGATCTTTTTTCTGCGCAGGATGGATGTGATGTGTAACTGCCAGCCGCTACTCACCATTGATAAATGGATGTGTCTGACTTAACAATAAATTTCAGCTGGGCCTACGCATTGCCAGTTGCCACACAAGTCCTTGAATGTCGTTCGGTCTTCTGAGCCTTGAATGATGTCTCAAATTTTTTGATGGACAGTATTTTGCCCCCTTATCGTGGTACACGGACAATACTGGGCCATTGATCAACAACTGAAGATTGGCATGCAGCACTTCGGCATACCGCGGCTTCCTTTCCAACCTGACCCTGCACTGCCACTGATTTGTCAATCAGCGTGTCAGTGGTTTTAACTCTGTGGAAAAATCGTGGGCAATCAGAAGTATCATGACACTTGACTTGGCATGTGTTGCGTGCAATTGGGGTCAAAAGACCAGCTTTATGTCTTTGGAACCTGCCATTTGGTGAAGCTGTCAGGAGAGCCCTTGACACAACCAATCCACCTTTCGGAGCGTGGCCTCCCAGGAACTTTTTTTCTCACTGTATTGGCAACTTCAAAAGATGATCCCCAAGGGTAGCTGGGTAAGATTCGCCCAGCTAGTCATTGTTGGTGGCACAAGCTCTTAAGAAAAGTCTTTATATACTGTTTGGGGGTATCGGGGGATGGGATTGCAATCAATCTTGCATCACATCTCTTCCAGGTAGTGCAACTCACGAACCAGCCTGGGTGCGAGCATCTGACGTGAGGAATGAGCCAACCCCAAACGAATCACTAAGAGAAAGCTTGGGATTTTTGAGTAACGCACGACGAATTCACGACAAACCACACAAAGCAGTTGCTTGCCCCTGAATCAGGTATTAAATTTCACGAGCTCCTGGGATTTTGTGATTTTTAGGGAATATTGGATATCAAGGTCAAGATGCAATATTTGTTGCAGTGTACGCGCACAAGGGTGGCACCAAAAAACCCAAGCGTCATGGTTTGCACGGGTTTGCACTGGATCAGCCTTCCATAAATGGAATTGGTCCAATTAATCGTTCAGAAAAAATGAAACGGTCGGAAACGGTCGGAAACAGTCGGAACCATGATCAGGCCAAAACTTGTCCAACCCGCCTTTTTTTTAATAAGCATTTCCGCGCAACGCCGTTTTTTTTTTTGAAGGTCCAAAGGTGTCCGAGGGGAAACGGTTGGAAACAGTCGGAGATTGCACCTTCGATCGGCAAAAAGGTATTGTTTTGTAGCATATGTTCATCAAAAATGTTTGAAAATTGTGCAAAAACATGTCTTTTTTGCCGAGCAAAGGTGCGATCTCCGACTGTTTCCAACCGTTTCCCCTTGGACACCTTTGGACCTTCAAAAAAAAAACGGCGTTGCGCGGAAATGCTTATTAAAAAAAAAGGCGGGTTGGACAAGTTTTGGCCTGATCATGTTTCCGACCGATTCCGACCGTTTCCGACCGTTTCATTTTTTCTGAACGATTAATTGGACCAATTCCATTTATGGAAGGCTGATCCAGTGCAAACCCGTGCAAACCATGACGCTTAAGTTTTTTGGTGCCACCCTTGTGCGCGTACACCGCACCAAATATTGCATCTTGACCTTGATATCCAATATTCCCTAAAAATCACAAAATCCCAGGAGCTCGTGAAATTTAATAGAATCAGGCTCAAGATTTGGCCAAGTATAAAAGTGCCTATTTGTTCCGTTGCAACCTGGACTCTTTGCCAGGTTGTGAGTTCCAAGTCACTTCCATGCCTGGTGGCTCCTGGGTCCCAAATATGGACCCCAAATCCTAAACAAGTAAACGTACCATGGCATCCAGACATTTAAGCAGGCTGACAGCGGCTGACAGGTCAAAATAACATAGAATTGACCCCTGGTGGGCATCCAAAATCATGGTATATGTTAACCAATTTGGGCCCCAATGTTCACCTTCCAAAAAGCACCAAATGATGCGGTGCTTGCCACGTTAATTTCAAACTCAAAAAAACATGGAATTCTGGATAGTTGCCGGCACACAATTTTATGTTTACTATACCATTGTTTACTATAATTACTATAACTGGTATTTATGATTACATCGTTCATCTCTATAGCCCAAGGTAGATTAGCATCTAGAATTATAGAATCAAGGACTAGTATTAAATGAAATTACCATGTATATCTGGAATATCTATAGTAGTATATATATATATAGTCATATATATATATATATTGCCAACCCATTTTTTTAAAGCCTACAGGTCCACAGCTGGTGCGGCACCGAGCGTCTTCTCCCGAAAGCGCAAACGTGCGAATCGGCAGCGCCGCTCCGCGCTGTTGAGCGCCCGGGCGTCTGGTGAGGTGCCCTGGAAATCGCCCCTGGCGCGGTGAATTTTTGTAGGATATCTATTGAATTCCTCCTTAACAGGCCATGGTTGTCATGATGTTACACGGATGGATCTGTTCAGGGGATCACCACAGGGGATGAGGGGCATGTTACTGCCTGAAAAGGCTTGAAATTTGGCTGGAAACTGCTGGATGGTCCACCTCTTGAAGTTCAAGTAGAGCACATAGCGGCTTTGCCGGTCACGATTTGCCATACCCCAGTGCACTGTCCTGCAGGTGGGGCCCGACTATTTACGATCTTAAGAGTCATCGATATCTGATGGGGATAGCATTGTAGGCAAGTTTGGTGGGCCAAATGCTACCACAAAAAACTGGTCGCACCTTTGTGCGCTTTAAGTAAGAACCAAAAGACTTTAGGTTTCAGTTTAAGGGGCGGAAAAAAACTACTGGGGGTTTCTTAAAGACCTGTTGTTGGGGTGTATCTAATACAAAGTGGTGCCCCCAGTCATGTTTCGTTGTTTGTAACCACCATTAGCTGGCTCGATATATCGACCATAAACCATAGTAATGCTATCAACCAACTTAGCTATCTACAGTAAAGGGCCCCACCTTGTACCACCTGCGATTTCACTCCTTGGTGGCTCATCCCACTTGGTATCTGGCTTTGTCTGAAAATAGGCTACCCAAAATCCCATGGTTCATTATCATGTTCATTCATTTTCCAGTGCAAGTATGGAAACAAGGTATTAATTTAATATTAATACAAAAAATTACTTTACTTCGTGTGATCCCCACCATGACATTTATACATTTTCTTACTGGCAAATCTTCTGGCATTCTATCTGACATATCTTCTGACATTCTATTTGCATTTATCTGGCATATCTTCTGGCATCTATGACATATCTTCTGGCATATCTTCTGGCATATCTTTCTGGCATTCTATCTGGCATTCTATCTGGCAAATCTTCTGGCATTCTATCTGGCATATCTTCTGGCACTCTATCTGACATATCTTCTGGCATTCTATCTGGCATATCTTCTGGCATATATTCTGACATATCTTCTGGCATTCTATCTGACATATCTTCTGGCATATATTCTGACATATCTTCTGGCATATCTTCTGGCATATCTTCTGGCATATCTTCTGACATATCTATCTGGCATATCTTCTGGCATATTTTCTGGCATTCTATCTGGCAAATCTTTTGGCATTCTATCTGGCATTCTATCTGGCATATCTTCTGGCATATTATCTGGCATTCTATCTGGCATATCTTCTGGCATATCTTCTGACATTCTTTCTGACATTCTTTCTAACCTTCTTCTGCACATTCTTTGTCCCATATCTTCCTACATGAGGTCCGGCAGGGAACACTTGGCGTGGATACTCGCGGTTGAGGTCCGGCAGGGAACACTGGGCGTGGATGGTCGTGTTTGAGGTCCGGCAGGGAACACTGGGCGAGGATGGTCGTGGTTGAGGTCCGGCAGGGAACATTGGGCGTGGATGGTCGTGGTTGAGGTCCGGCAGGGAACACTGGGCGTGGATGGTCGTGGTTGAGGTCCGGCAGAGAACACTGTGGATCGCGGGTCGCAGTTGGACGAGGACGACGAGGACGACGAGGACGACGAGGACGACGAGGACGACAAGGACGACAAGGATGACAAGGAGGACGAGGAGGAGGAGGACGAGGCAGGAGGAGGCGGAGGAGGAGGAGAAGGAGGAGGAGAAGGAGGAGAAGGAGGAGGAGGAGGAGGCAACTGACATAAAATCTAACAACCCTCACCTGGCAGGTGGGGAATAAAAAAAAACTATCAGCATGAAATTTTGGGGAGAAAAACAAAATCAGACACACCCAAGTAGGTTCTATCAGTTCTATCCAACTTTCGTGGTGCACCTGTCACAGACCCCCTTCCTGGAGTCGTAGATCAAGGCATCGCCCAGCCGAAGCGGAGCGCCCACCAGCAGCTTATCCTGCGATCGATGTTTCACTGGCCGTGACATCCGGTTGATGTGTAATGGGAGGTCATTGGGAGAAATGGCGCATGGGCCATACAATATGATCATATGCGTATATATATATATATATGTGTATATGTATATGTATATGTATATGTCTAGGCAACAATATTTGCACCACAATCCACATGTACATAAGCGTGTTTATGGTGTATGTATGACCCATGGATTAGAAATTACCAAGCAAAGAGAAACAAGCAACCGTACGATATCGTACGATGTGCTTCGGAACGACTATAAATGTACAGAATCCATATTTAAAATTGTGTACATATATGGTCTATGTATATATATATATATATATGAATGCTGTAATTCATCATGTTGAGCCACAGCTGATCGAGCCTTGCGACCTTATGATCATATCAGGCACAGTCATAGACCCTGACCACCCTTGGATGGTGAGTAGTTGCCATCTAAGATCCATCTTAACACACCAACGTATGCCCCAACAACTTGTCATGTCACCCCTTGCAATCCTCTATTGTAAATGCCTCACTTCCATCTCTAGTGTCTCCTGATGTTGACGACCGGTCATCCACACTCGCAACTGGTTCCTTGGCAAATCTTGGCAAATGGCCCAGCCCAATGGTGCTAGAACTACCGGCAATCAAACATGGCAATGGACCCCCCACTCAGAGATCATAGCCTCTGGAGTCTGGAGTAGATAGAATATTGAATTGTCAAAAATCTTCACTAAAGTGAGATGATTCTTGAAAATTGCTACAGTATATTCTAAGCTACTTCAAGATGACTATGGGGACTGCCAGCCCTGTTTCAGAACACCGGATGGTAGACATTGTCCTGTCTCCCCGCAAATGGATCTTAATACAGCACCCCCAAAATATGGCAAAATAGGTTATAGGTTCTGATCCATCCACCCCGGAGCAAAAAAAATATATTGCAATCTTACTATTGAAATCGGAAATCAGGATCCACCATAGGATATACTGTAAACAGTATGGTTTGTTGCAAACACAGGGGGATGCCAAATGGGTTTACTACATGGTTTGTTAACCCAGGGTCCCTCCATGCGGTTTTTTTTCATGCGTTGGGAGACCTCAACACATGGCGAGGTCGAACAACTGGAGGCTCCGGTTCTTCAGCCTCGGAGCCATGGAAAAATGGTGGCTCCATGGGATGTAATTATGATATTAGGTAAACCGGCTTTGGGATAACTATGGGATACATATTTATATATATAATTAATAGTTATTATAGGATAAGTTTTCCCCAAAAAATAGATTCTGAAATCGGGTATGCGGGTATGCCGGTATGCCCCTTTAACTCGAAGGACGCGATACAATTCCCAAAGAGTTGCGGGAATGGTTTACGGCATTGGCGTCAACATTAAACGATAAATTAATGTACTGCACATTGTAACATGGAATGAAAGTACTGGATAATTCCCATCTAATACAGCGCATTTTTTCTTAAACGTTGTTGGACCACTTTGAACCAGGTGTATTTCTTTTTAAAATCTGAACAGGTCAGAAGGTCCCCGGACAAACCCGTTTCTGCGTGTTGACCACAAGCAACTGGAGGATATCGAGAAATGACATATTCCAAGTTCTTTAAACAAAGAATCAGCTAGTTTCATGACCAAAATCTGGAGAAAAAACGCAGCCCATAAACTTCACACAACATCAGCAGGTTTCATTGTTTTTCATGTCTTATCCCAAAACATCTCCAAAATCAACCCAAAAAAGAAACTGGGACCCAATCATCTTTAAAAACAATCCCCAAATCCTTAATTTTACTTGAGTTTCATATTAACAATCTGCAAATTAGTTGGGTCCAATTATATATATATAATATTCTGTGTATATATATATGTATATAATATATATATATATATATTTGGGTCTAATCTCAAACAATCACCAAACTCCAAACGGATCTCCCATGGCCATTGTGCGGCGCCACCTCTTGGATTGGTCGCAGCACACGCACCAGGAGATTCTCGCGGAAGTCTGGGACAAAGTCTTTCACCTGCAGTCGTTTTGGAGATGACGTTGGCCCTACCAGTTGGGCAATAGGGAAGAAGGCTGATTTTAATTCTGGATTCAAGATAGCCATGGTACAGCACACTGTTTTAAGTCCTTGCACAACTGGATCAAAAAACTTAAAGAACCTATCCATATTTTGTTCCGTAGAGTCTTAATATGTTTGAATAAGAAATCCCATCCCCGAGAGGTGTTTTTGCTAAGCATCTTCAATTTTCCGCCATGGTGACCCAAAGAACTCGTCAACCTTCTACCCGGAGTCCCCAAGGCCTGCAACCAACTAATGAAGTCCAATTCGTTCACGTGCGTGACCTGTGGATGTGTCTCGTTTTCCATTTTTTTTGCCACAAAAATGTGAAGACCTTCCGGTAATCAAACGTGGCTATGGAAAATCCCATTATATAATCGAGGTCTCAAATAATCATACATGATGGTTTTTTAATTTTCAATTGCCACGTTTGATTACTGGAGGGCATCATCAATAGTTTTGGTAACTATAGGATACTATGGGCATATTTAAAAAATTTGCACCGGAAATGGTTGGTGAGCCAATCAGTCCCCAAATTTGCAAGGTATAAACTTTTTTTTTCAATTGACGTACGCCTTGGTCGGGGTTATTCATCATGTTCGTTTTCAGAGCTCGGAGGACGAAAAACAAATCATCGCCAAGGAAAGGGAACACACATTTATAGACCCACCTCGCATCGGCACCTCGTCTCCAGGCTCAAGGCCCAGAATGGCGCTCGCCTTTGTGACGCCACGGACCAAGCAGCGACCTTGACCTTGACCAAAAACAGTTGGGAGGCCGTTTGATCATGGGGGATCAATTACCATTTTCCCATATTTTCCCAACATCCATCCAGCTCACCTTGGATTTCCATAAGCCGCCCCCTCCAATTAAACAAACAAACTATATAGATTCCCTGAATGGTGGGTGTGCCATTGGCAAAATATCATATAATATTGTGTTTCCTAAACCCCACCTTCACAATAATACGAGTTAAGTTACGTTTTTGGTTTATTCACCACCAACAACCACGTGTCAGCTTTCCGGGCGCGGTGGTATCCCCATGATAAGCGGCCTGAACCAATGAAATATTCGAAATAACCTGCCGTTTATAGTTCGAAATAGTTGATGTTTGCGATATTTTAAACCCTGCCTGCGATACTCAGGGATCCTAATTTGTTCAAATTTCCAAGATCCATAGCACATTTTACCAAGTAG